GAGCTGGTCCAGTGTTCCACGACCAGGACGAAAACCACACTGCTCTTCCTGAATCCGAGGTTCGACTATCCGACGGAGCTTTAAACATAAATAACAAAATCCTATAGTCGACCAACTCATCAAACTTCAAAATTCAATTTCTGCTGGCACAAGATTTATCCCATACTTCTCCTTTTAATTCAGCTTTCAACAAACCCCAAATGAATGTCTCTACATACCAAGTTATAACTTTTCAAAGCATTTCAGGATCAGATTTGGAGTTTTCTTAAATAAAAAATACCTTAAAGTGTAAATGCATACACAAACACACGCAACTTTTTTCAAAGGCTAACTCAGTTAGCTTCATTGGATCAGGAACACAAAACAGATTTTGTGTCCTCAAACACAGAAGTTTCATCCACATCTGCACTGATACATGTTTTTAGGAAGGAACCAAGCAGAAGAAAAGCAGACAAGGAGAGGAAGACGAGGACGGGAGTGAAGATGAAGATSTCGCTGAGGAAGATGATGCCGATGGAGAGCCCGAAGACGTCGAAGACTTGATTGAAAGCAACTGGAACATCATGCATTATCTTCCCCAAACAGCTTCCTGCCAGAAATACTTCCTCATGATTGTCTCAGGTAAAAAATGAACAAATAAAACAAAATATTACATTTATTAACAAATCCCTTTCTGAGCTTCTTTAACAAGTTTCTCTCTCGCACACACTCACACACACACCCGTTCCATCCCAGCCTACATTGCTGCAGTTTACCACAGCATGAAGGAGGAGCTGAGACGTAACGCTCCTGGAGCCACGCCAATCAAGAGACGCGGCGGCAGCCAGGCTTCCCAGCAGGCAGTTGGGGACTTGAGCGCACTTCCTGGTAAAAAATAAAGTTTTTTCAATCACTGTGAACCTGTGGTGTTTCTCAGTTTGTGCATTTGAYTCATTAAACTCGCCTCAAGCTGTTGCGTCACAATTGAACAACTCTGAATTCTTTTCTAGGCATGATCTCCTTCTCCCAGGAGTATGTGGCCAGTGAGCTGACACAGAACATTTTCACCATCACCCAAAAGATCCACAAAAAGGTGACGGGCTCCAGAAATGTAACTCAGACGTCTGAGCTGTTCCCAGTCCTGCCCGGCTCACACCTGCCGCTGAACAAGCCAGCTCTGGAGTTCGTCAAATATGTCTGCCAGGTAAGTTMCGGCTTATCCACAGCTCCTCTCCCCTGCTGCTTGTAGGGTTCATTAACATTCCTCTTTGTGTTTTTGAACCATTAGGTCCTTTCACTCGATGCCAACATTGTGAATCAAGTGAACAAACTGAAGCGAGACCTCCTGCGTCTCGTGGACGTCGGGGAGTTTTCAGACGAGGCCCAGTTCCGTGACCCGTGTAACTCCTACATCCTGCCCGAAGTCATCTGCCACCACTGTAACTTCTGTCGGGACCTGGACCTCTGCAAGGACCCGTCAGTGGCACAGGTAAGCATCGCCTGACACAAACCACTTCAGGATCTTTTTAAWCAGTGTCCTGTGTTATAGTCCTGAGATCAGACGGAGATGAACTTTGTTGTGTCCTCAGGACGGGTCYGTCTTGCCTCAGTGGTTCTGCTCAAACTGTCAGGTTCAGTATGAGAAGGACTCGATTGAGATGGCTCTGGTGGAAGTTCTGCAGAAGAAACTCATGAGCTACACACTGCAGGACCTGGTGAGTAAAACTGTGCCCGAAACAATCAGGAGGAAAAATGTACTCCTCGTAGTGAAAGTATTTGCAGACGATGGACATTTGTACTTATTGTAACTTCCCTGAAATCTGTTTGTTACTGAATGTTTTGTATGGAATTATTCAACATTGAATGATTTATCCACAATGTTTTACTTTTTTGTAGCTAAATTTAAGTATATGGTACTGTTGTAGAAATAATAGCTCTGCCATATCTGCCATAATTTGCTTAATATAACAATAGAGGCCTTTCAGTTAAAAAAAACCCTGTTTATTCTGGAAATTTTAAGTTTAATAAGTAAAGTGTGAGAATAATTTGACAGTTTAATTTTTGCCTTAACTAAAATCTATTTGAAGCAGAATTATTTCACATAAAAACAATAAATAGTTTATTTAAACATATGTATGAATCAGAAGAGTCAGAGAAGTTAGTGCACTGAAATGAACAGATCTGCTAAAATGAAAACAAGAGTTTTAATTTTTTTATATTATGGCCTGATGGATGAAACTTTAAATCTAAATAGAGGTCTAATTTTTAATGTGCTCTTTAAAAACTTGTTCCACACGCTTCTCCCCTAAAGCTGACTGATATTTTTAGGTGTGCACCAAATGCAAAGGAGTGAAGGAGGCAAACATGCCCCTCTACTGCAGATGTGCCGGAGACTTCGACCTCACTTATACAACCAAGGTTTCCATTCAAACCTATTACTTAATTTAACGAAAGCWTAGAAATGATGCCATCGACTCTTTTTTTTAAATATATTTTTTTTATTTTTCTGTTTAAAGAGCTTCTCTGAGCAGATCACGGTGTTTCGGAACATAGCATCCCACTACAGCATGAGGTTCCTGGACGAGACCATCGACTGGCTGCTTGTGATGAGTCCTCAGATCAGCTGCTAAATGTGACGCAAAACCCCGAATGAGGACTCTGAATCTGGAGGAGAACCGTGTAAATATGTCTGATTCCACGCTTTATGACTGGATTCAGGTTTTTGTATGGATTTCACATTTTAAGATGTTAATAAATAATTACAGCATAAATATTTGAACCTGGGTTTTACTGTTTCCGTTTCTTTTTGTGACTTGAGTAGAATGTCAGAGGCTTGACCTCACAAAACATATTAAATAAAATCATCATGAGGAATAACGTCTTTGCATGCTACAACATAAGTTCATTTTTATGAATGATTTCACCATGTTTTATTCAATTATTTAAAAAGGAGCATTAAGAAGTAGTCTTCTAAAGCTTTTGCAGTTGAATGAACTAATATGAAAAAGTGCTTTTCTGCTTCTTTTTATCTAATGTGGGACAGTTTTAAGAGTTTAATAACTGTAAAGTCCTGTGGTTTTAACTTGCACATGTGCATTTACTTTGCCTGCTAAGTCTCTCCCACACAAGTAATCACATTTAACACATTAAACTGAGGCACAATTCGATTATTTTTTTCAGATGATCTTCCTGACACCTGCGTGACACTCACCAATTAAAGATCTTCAGGTCTTGCAACCAATATTTACATTTTCATGTCTCGCCTCAACATATTCATTTTAACATTTTATAAAATGACCAATAAATTTCTTTCATTTTGCACTAAAACCACAATTTTAAAGCCTACATGTGGCTGCAGATTATTCTACATCCGTCTTGGCTGATATCGATCCATGCGTGTCGACTTTTGTTTCACCACAGGTCGTGCAGCTCTCAGGCACACTCCAGCAATCTTGTTAGAGGAGTCGTTTTATGGGAAATGCAAGTGTTATTTGATTAATGTTCATTGCCCTCCTGATGTGGTTTCTCACAGTCTCCTCCTGTATCCTCATTATGCTGCACACACTTCTACTCTGTTCCTTTCTGTCTCTCAGGTTAAAAGACCAAAATAATACAAATCAACAGCAATTTCTTTCTCTTGAAATTTTGTTTTATGTTTTTGCATTTAAAGAAATATGCTAGATTAATTATGTCATAAACACAAGTTAACTGAAAAAAGCATTTTTTAAAGAAATAAAATGAAAGCTGATTGTTGCATGACTCAGATTCAATCATAAMACAAGATAACTTGGGAATAATAATAAAAGCAGAAACCAGCAGAACAAYAGCTAAAACAAGTTTAAAAGTAGCTAAAAGCAAAAATCAACTTATCAAAAGCTAATGCAAACAAATTTGTGTAAAGCAGACCGGGAAAAACTAGGGTCAACAAAGCCAGCTAAACCAGTGGTTCCCAAACTTTTCAGCTTTTGACCCACAAAATAACAGTAGCAGAGACCTGTGCCCCCAGATATTTTTGGATGAGAAACATTTGTATCAGGTCAATACATGGGCATAGTAACAATATTTTTATACTACATTTATCCATTTTAAATATACTAACCTCACTCCTTTGTAACAACTAAGGCAAAAATGTGATTAATTCATAAAATATATTCAGGACCCCACGTTGAAGTTTTGGGACCCCACTTTGGGTCCCGACCCCAACTTTGGGAAACACTGAGCTAAACCATTGTTAAAATCTAAAATAAACACAACCATAGCTAAAATACTGTACTTTCATTTTAATTTAACGTTCACAAAATGGTTAACAAAACCACCAGTTTCAACCAGCTAAACGGCAACCAAAACTTAAATCAACACAGCTTAGCCAAAAGCCAAACCCAACAAGATCATTGTTAAAGTTAAAATAAGCAAAAGCTTAACTAAAAGCTAGCAAAAGAGCTTGAGGCTAAAATTGGTAACAGCTGAAACCGTAACATTCATAAGAAGCCAAAAACAAAGCAAGGTTGCTAAACTAGATTTAGAAAAGAGCAATGTTTTGAAGTCATTAAAATATTTGTTTATATGGAGATTTTCTTTGTAAATTAAGTTCAATATTTTGAAAAGTAAAAAAAAGACAAATAAAAGTCAGCACTAATCCTAGTCGAGCTGAACATTATATACTGGAAGTTAAAATAGCACAAAATATTCAGAAGTAGTTTGATTGCAAAAAGCACTCAGAAGAACGCAGAGACTGGAAAAATTRTGTGAACGCTGACTCAGCATTTACACAATGAAGGATGTTTATTATTGGGCTGAATGTTTGCAGTATAAGAGCATAGCTTGTATTGATTAGTAAAACTTTCTTATGAAATTAGTTATTTTTTATCTTGAGAAAACTAACATTCCCTACATGTGAGTATACTGTAATCTGAAGGTAGACAGAAGCAGGTTTGGTGAACATGATGAAAGTCCAGTAAAGCTTAAAATAATCTGTGACTTTAACCTGCTGTTAAGACAGTTTCATTGAGAGCTCCACGAGCTTTTCCTTCAGAATGATTTTTTCTTGGAGATGTGGTTCTCGTTCAGTTTATTCCCACTAAGAACAGCACAGTGTTGTGACTCCATCACTCTGAGATGCTGATGTTGCCGCGTCGGTCAGCTGGACTCTGGGATCAGAGTGGTACACCGTCCGACAGGTCTGAGTGGTTCGAGCCATAGCTGCTGATGAAGCTGACCTCTGTTTGGATGGTTTCTGTGGGTTCTTTAATCACCTGAAAAAGACAGACTTTCACTGATATTTCTTCACATGTAGCCTAACACATATAACATGTATTAAATTCTACCTGAAAAACCCTTAAAGTCCAACAAGCTACTGTTAGATTATTTGATCACAGAGTTTATTTTCTACATAAAAAGTTAAAGTTCAACAGGTGTGTTTTTTTATTTATTTATGGATGGGTGTCACAATGACAGCTCATCTCTTAGCTCTATTTCAAAGCATAAAATCTTTAATAATCTGTTTTACTCACTTCATCAAACTTCCTCTCACTGTACACTTCATTCCTGTCAATAAATGTGAGCATGATCCAGTCACAGATTATAGTACACTAGACGGGAAGAAATCAAATTAGAAAAGTGAACAATCGTTCATGTTACAGACTGATTTTTAATGAGCTGTATTACAAACTGTGTAAGTATGTTACTTACGATCCCTACAGAGGTCATAGCTGTCACCAGGCTGATGATTGTTGGAACGGTACTGAATTTTCCAGCCTGCACAAAAATGACACATGCTGTGATAAAACCATCGAGCAAACAGGAAATGAACAGTAGTTGGGAAAATAAAAGTACTTCACCTGTCCGTGTACTATGACATCTAGACGGATGCCATAAGCTTTGACAAGTGTCCGAGACTCGACACCATCGTTACTATAATATTTGGCAAACCTGGACAATCCCATGAAAAACACACAGTGGAACAACCTAAATCATCCTTTGATAAACTGATGGTTAGAGCCAAGAACCTGGAGAGTTTTTGGTGCTGACCTGTAATAGTAACCAGTGTTACCCAGATCCTTTCGGAGATCAAGMCGACGGAATGAATATGTTGGTTTACAGTGTGAAGGATCCAAATCAAGATTACAATCCCAGTTGATGAAGACTCCAATCACTCCTCCCTGAGTGCAAAGAGAATTACAAACCTAAACCACTGATGCATCGATTATAGTTGTTTATTTTCGTTCTGCAGCGTCTGGCTCTGAGCAGTCAAGGAAAAATAATTTTTGGGGACTTTTTTGTGGATCCCGAGAAGCTCAGAACACTGAGGCGTAATTTGCGGGAGGTTTAGAGTGGTTATGAGCCCCACAATAATTTGATTTAGTCAAAATTACCCCCCAATAAATTGACATAATTTGCTCAAATTCAATAGAAATGAACTGGTTAAGAAAACAGATGCAACTCTCTTGTTGTGTGTTAAGTAAAGTTGCGTATTTGAGTGTTTCTAATCATGTGTCCTCCGTCTGAGTAATGCAAAGGTTCGATTAAAGCTCAGTGTCTTTTTGGGGAGAGCAATGAGACCACTTACAAAACCCCCTGCTGATATAGGTTCTTCATTCATCCCCACTCGCCAAACCAAAAATTTGTCTTTCAACCTCAGGGGTTGTAAAGATGTAAAAATGACAACATGATTAAAAAAGAAAGAAAGTGCAGGACCTGTGTCTGTGTTTTACACAGGGCGCCAAAATGACTAAAATTACCTCTGGAGTAGTTGGAGTGTGAAAACATACAGAATATGTGAGTAAAGAGGAAGAACACAAGAACACAATCCATCATCCAAGAAGAACATCATCCGTGCATTGTTACACTTTAAACGTTGTAAACAAAACAAAGTGCTTTGTCACATATCTTGAGCAAGAGGAACACAACCTGCTCACTGTTAGTTCTCTACTTCTCCAGTATAATATACATTCTGATGCACTTTGTTCAATATCTTCGTCTGTACAGATATGTCTTTGTAGGTTAGGTTTTGTTTCCATAATTTAACCAGATATTAGTTTCCCTCATTTGTTACGATTTCAAATTATTTTAATTAATGAGCTATACTTTTGTCATGAAAAAAATGCAATTCATAATTTTTATTTAATCTGCAAATAGATTTAATGTTAGAAACAGTCTTGATGAGTTCAACCGCTCACAGTTCTCACGTTCACAGTCTCATACTCACAGTTCTGCAGAGCTCGCTGAAATTCTCCCTCGCTTGGTTTGCAATGTAACCCAGGCGGAAGTTTGGGCAGTAGGGATCTTTCTCCTCATGATAATGACACTTTTTAAGATATTTGTGCTTTTTATGCCCTTTTGAAGCATATTTTGCATTTACCCTGCAAGAAAGAAAGAAAGAAACATGGTTAWAGTTGATGTCTGTAACAAACAACCAAAACCAATGACTCCTGTGTTGTATGTGTGTCTTTGAAGATGTTTACCTCAGAACTTTAAACTTGGGGAAGTGGATGGAGTTTCTGATAAACACTGTGAAGTTGATGGCCTCTACTAAAGGTGGTTCTCTGTTAAAGACAATAAATAATGCTTWATCCAAATGAACAACAACGACATTTGTGAGATTCTATTGGAGCAGGTAAATGGAGAGATTTCCTGTTTGATGATTGCTCACCCTCCTTGCAACTGGATATGTTTTTTCCTGCTTTCTGTAATGTTTTCAAGGCCAGATGACTTTCATTTACCAAATTAAGAGATTTGTTTTCTATGAAACAAGCTTACAGTTAGAATAACATCTCTGAAACGTTATCTCATACTGCACTATGTCACACCGGTTAAGGTTTTTTAGTTTATCAAATCCATTTTGTCTGACTTTTATCACTGAGTTGACTTTTTTACAGTGTATTCCCTAAGCAGATGTTTGCTGAGGCATTTGTTGAGTTACTGGATGAACTCAACTTCAATTTAAGAACCACCTGACTTACTGTACAACAGCAAAGGCTTCAATAGGACACCAGGTTTGGATCTCACACGTTTTGAAAGTRTGGTTGTAGTACTGAATACATCTGCCAGTCCTTCTGCCTGCAAGAAGGTGTTTGATTTAGAATCAAAGGTTGTAGTAAATGCTCACACACATGCAAATATTAATAACACAAATCAAAGAAAGCTGATGTGAGAAGTCATAATAATACCATTTCCTTCTAAATCAGCCTCCCCTTGAACACAGTCAGCGTCTGTTGTACAGTTTGCGTTGGCAACTTCAAAATGCTGAAAACCAAAATGAAACAAAGTCAAAGGAAGGTGCACATTTTTTGTATATTCATGTTATTCAGTTGACCTCTCACCTCAGCGCAGGTGCCTTGTTTCTGATCATAAGTGTATTCTCTCCTCAGTAATGTACTGATCACATCACCACCCTGCACAAAAAAACCTCATTTATACAATAATTATTATTTTTGATGTCCAGCAGCTATCTGTTYTTAGCTCACCTCTGAGGGTCGAGCGTATTCCACCGTGTCCAGGATGTCATCGCCATGAATTGCTGTGCCTTTCATGCAAGTGTAAACCGAGCTTTCTGGATGGGTCTCGCTCTCCTGGTAYGCTTTCTGACTGATAAAAACATACCTGATGACAGAACAGACAGAGGCAATTTCACATTTTCTGTCATGTGAGATTTTTATTGGAGGCATCATGTTGCTGAAGATCTGGTTACCCTGCTGAGCTGGAGCTACAAAAACAAGAAGACGCCTGTCAAACTGAGGCACTTAATTCAAGAAATGGCTTCTTCTCTGAAGACGACACATAAAATCTTCACAAACTCATCATTAATTTCTATTTTTGTATCACTATGTGAAAATGAGAAAAATGGATCCTATATTTTACATAGGATAGAAATCTTTACACTATTTTTGCTTTAACTTAATGTACTATATGGCAAATACCAGGGAGCATTTGTGTTTTTTGTTTTTGTATCAGATCATGCAAATCTGCAACCATACTCAGAACTTACCAGGTGAAATAGGTGATCACAAGAAACTGAACAGCTCTGTAAATGACTCCAAGAGTTTTGTTCTTAACCACCATCATCTTAGGAGTCTCATAAGAGTCCCAGAATCCATCAAAATAGTCCTTCAGAAAGTCCCGCAGCCCCATGATGATGGTATGAAATGCTTCACTCATTTCCAGAGATTAGCTTGAGATTTTTTCTTTGTCTTCTTGTATGCTTCTAGCTCCAGCACATTATTCCTCTTTCCCACTATTTGATACTGCTCTGATCTGGTCTGTATTTTCCTCCAGCATCATTGCCATCCGTTAGTGAGAGGAGAGGAAAAGAGGTGTGGCTCAGACGAATGAACTGAGAAAAAAAAGAGTGGTGTTTATGATAGATCCGTAAAATACTTCAAATTAAGTGTTTCTTGCTCAGGAAGTTGATGACATCTTTTGATTTTAGAGCATTAGAGTTGTTGGTTTTCCTATTTTAGTTCTTTTCATTTTTCAACAAAATTTCTCATTTACAATAAATAAATAAATAAATAAATGTATTTAAGGTCTGCTCTGAAGAGTTAGGGTAACATGTCTGTTTAGATATTTTAAAAATGTGATATGCTGACTTTTTTAGGGCAATATTTTTTTTTCTGTCAATCATTTTGAAAAATAAAAACATGGTAATAAGGAGAATATTATGACAAGTTTAGAATTAAGAATTTAGTTATTATTGAGTTCAAATGATACAAAGGTGTATCTATATAAATTGTTGTTCTAGAGGGATTAGATGTTCTTGTCTTTTGTTTTGTTAATAACATAGATTTTTATATGAACTTATTCTAGAAAAAAGGGGCCAATATCATAAGATTTTTTCTTCTCTGTGCTGCCTTTCATTTTATTTGTGATTTTGATATACATGTATATTTTTTCTCTCATTTTTCTTTTTGTATTTTTCTTTTTATTGTATAGTATATATAATTTTTTTGTTTTGTTTTAATGAAATGAATAAAGAATTGAACTGAAACTGAAAAATGTGTTAGTGTTTATAATTTTATTATTTTTAAGCTGTTTTTCTCTTTTATAAATCTGTCAGTTTTGGGCACCAGGTTTGTTTCTCTGTTCATTTTCATGCAACTTTTGCATTAAAACTGTGGTAGGAATAGTTAGGATTATTAAATAGCATTATGTTAGACATTTTATTTTCAATTTGAAATGAATTAAAAATACAAATAGATGTTGTTTGGCATTTTTGTAACCAAAAGAAATAAACACATAAATGTTTAAACTAGGTTGTTTTATTGTACAGTATCATTCACACAACCAAAAATATTTAGTTAATTTAATCTCTAATAACAGTTTGTCATATTTTTCTTTGTGTGTGACATTTTTATTCAGTTGTCTTTCTTCTTTTAACGCATACTGATACACACACGCATTTTGTTTTATTAATTTGAGCTTTTTTCTTGTAAATATCCCACACACCACTTAAATTTCTAAAATGAGAAAATAAAAATTTCTTTGTTTATGGAGGAAGAAGCTTCTTCATGCAATAAGAAAGGTAGTTATTGACTTACTGTCTGTCATATATTTTCTCTGTTTTTCGTGTAATGTTGACTGAGTCAAATTAAGAAAAAGCAACACCCACTCCACCCCCACAAAAAATACAATTAAATAAATTTTAAAAAATGGAATTGTGTACAGGCAGACAAACGGTCAGCCCGTAGGTCCTGATTACAGCTCGTTTCTTCTCCTGCGCATGTCAAACCATAGACATCAACACGTGCAGCATTGGTGGCTAGTTTTGGTTGCTAGCTGAACAGTTTTTAGACTTTTTATCGTAAAAAGTATTGGGGAGTCACAAGTCAAATTGAAATGGGTGTTCAGAAGAAAAAGGTACGAGTTGACAAGTTGTTTAAGTCGGATTAAAACACGTAACTTCGACTAACGCTTAGCTAGGAGCTGTAGCTGCTCAGTCCGGTGATTAGGAGTTTGAAATATTTTATCGCTTTATACAACACGGATGTGAAAGATTAATATGTTGGCACATTTCTTGCTTTACAGTATGAAAGGGGCGCTGCCACCAACTACATCACCAGAAATAGAGCACGCAAGAAGTTGATGCTGAGCCTCGCAGACTTCAGGTAACAACAATATTTTCTCTTGTCTTTAATTTTATAATTGGTATTTCTACTACTAGTATGTATTTTATCACTACAGTCTGTTTTTTTCATTCTTGATAAAATTACGTTTCTTCAACTCATTTAGTCCCCCAATGCTCCGTCCTTCTACTACAACTTAATTGCTGTTCAGTGTTGCCAGATGGGAAATGTTGAATTATCGTATTTTGAGGAAAATTATCGTACACACCCAAGTTATGTTCTAGAGAGGCTCAAATTTAAAAATACATCCTGCTCAGCTCACAATGTGCTCTGTATTCAACAAACTGCACATTCTTTTGTTTATAACAAAGTTAAAAAGCACTGTTGGGTGTCTTTTTCTAAACAAATTTTTGTTGTAAACAAGAACAAAACATGTAGTCTGGGGAAATGCTGCATATAAAAAGAAATGTTAGATAAAATGACTAGAATAAAATGTAAATTGTAGACAAAGTTAAAATGAAATCAGGAAAAGAACAAATCATTGTAGTTTATTGTACTTTTGATAAGTCAAGAAATAAATTAATTGCATACTGAGCAAATGTAATCTGCAAGCCTCCAAAATCTGTTTTTTTTTTTCTTTAAAAAATAGCTTCTGGATGACACCTGGATGTTTCATTAAATGTAAATGTTGCTTATACCCCTCACCTTCTCAGTCCCACCTTTTCTTTTTGATTTTACAGTTATTATTTCTTTCACATAAGTACTATTATATTTATCTTTGCTTCTAGTAGTTGCCATCATAACCCCAATGTGGGAGGGGTGTTCTCCCCCAGAAAATTTTGAATGAAGTAGGTGCTGTTTCCTGCAGTATTCATTTCATGTCTGGATGGGATAGATATCTACCTGCAGCAGGGAGAGACGAAGCGTGAAGAAGCCTCCTGTCGGTGCTCTGGGACCGGGGAGAAGGAGCTCTCAGCAGCACAATGGAGAAATGCGTTCACGACAGAGCCTCTCAAAGTCTCAATAACACCAGAAAAAGAGTCGCTAGATTTTCACTTTTCTGAATAACAGTATCTAGAAGGTCTGAAAACTCTGTAAATATAGCGAGGAAGTGACTAAATCAGCACCGCTGTGTTCCACAACCCCGCCACCTCTCATGTGCGAGCAGCGTGTCGGGTTAATTACGTCATACATTGGAGCGGTCAAATTATCGTACATTATGGGATTTTTGGGATTATTGATCGTACAGAGGGCAAAATTATGGTACAAATACGATAATTATCGTACACCTGGCAACACTGTTGCTGTTCTTAGTTATTTTATATGGTTCATTGATGTCTTTGTGTAGCTTTGCTTTGCTCTGGTTTTGTCTGGTGTGAATCAAGTAGTTTAAATTGTTTTAAAAACGAGCAGATTATAGCTAACCGAGAATTTAGTGATTTTAAAAACGGTTCTCACTAATAAAAAATGAGAAAAAAGCATGGAATGCTTTTCTTCCCCCGGTCCTGCTAGTTCAAGTTTTGAGTTGTTATTTTTCTGATTTGTAAAATAAAATCTATATGCCTTTTCATCTTCCTCTGTGGCTGAAGTTGTTTCATTGAATTTACTATAAAATAATTTAGTTATTTCTAGACAGAGTAATGTTTATTTTTATTTTTTTGCCAAACCCTTTAATTGATAAAAGGAGAAAATGAAAAATAATAATAAATCCCAGCCAATACAAAGAATTTCAATGTTGCACAGGTTTGAGTTCTGTTTTGGTAATCCAGACTATACAAATGTGTCTTGCATCCTGAACCTAAATTTCATAATTTATTATGGATGTGTTCTGCCCTTCTGATGACTAATATAAGATCTATCATTTCATCTCTAATGTAAGATTATTTTATTTTGTTTTGCCAACTAACACAGATCTTTTTTTATTGCATTCGAACCTTTAGGCGGCTGTGCATCCTTAAAGGCATTTATCCTCATGAGCCAAAACACAAGAAGAAGGTGAACAAGGGCTCCACGGCACCAAGGACTTTCTACCTGCTCAAAGACATCCGCTTCCTGCTGCATGAGCCCATCGTTGGCAAGTTCAGAGAGTATAAGGTATTTTAAATCACACCACTTTTTAAACATGCATAAATTTAGATGATTTCAGACATTTGCATAATTATTTTTTAATAGAGTGGGGATAAAAATCTTATTGTCAAAATGTTTTGTTTTACAGATATTTGTACGAAAACTAAAGARGGCTTATGGAAAAACAGAGTGGACTGATGTGGAAAGACTTAAAGACAACAAGCCATCATATAAACTGGATCACATCGTCAAAGAGAGGTAACAGTTTTTTTTCTCTCAACATAACAGTACAACTGAGCATGTTTGAACTTTTACATTTTCCCCACTGTTAGTTAATATTTGATTGTATTGATCTGAACAGATGGGCAAATTCCAACAACAGAAAATGCCTTTAATCAAAACAATAACGTCATTTTTTAAAGTTGAACCAGAGCTCTAGACTAACTTTTTGCACTGGTTGCACCGGTGCGCCTAACATTTTTCCTTAGGTGCACCAGTAAAAAATTTAGGTGCACCCAAATTTGCAAACGCATCACATTTAACATTGATGTTTTAATGGTTCACTTTTTTAAAATCATTGTCCATTAAGGCAATATTAACTCCCAAATAATTTGTTAACAATCTAGCAAAAATAAAGTTCTGTATTTGAACCAGAATCATAGACGTATAACTTATTGAAAATAATTTTAAATTGATTCTATGACCTGAAATATTAACTTAAACATCAAGATAAATGAAATGTAAGAAATTGTAAATTCTAAGTGCAAATGTTGAACATTTTATAAATATCTTAAACATTTCATTGTTAAATGTCTTTTAGATTACACCTGCCCCTCAGATAGACAACTCCTGTAGTTTTGCCTTCAGGATCTTTGGCCTTGGCTAAACCAGAATGTTGAACAGAGAATTATGATTAACAGCAGAAATATTACTAGTATTTATTAAATGAGAAAATGCTTTTTAAAATAATGAAAATAACATAACATGAAAAAGTCTTCTATTTAATTTGTATTAGTTTAATTTTATGTATCGCTCACTAAAAAACTAAGCTGTGTAGTCATAAAACCATTTTAAGAACCTGGAACGTAACTGTGGTGAAGCCAATTATATGTAAAAGTGGCCTGCCATACAGGTGAGCTTCCTCATGCTGCTGGAATGATCTGCTGCAGAGCAGAACCAGACTGCAAGATGGACTTTTTACTGAGAGCAAGCAACCATCCACATTTAGTTTCCACAGTTAACAAAAAAAAAGTTTCTGACTCTGGTTTGAAAAAAAAAACAAAAAACGATTGATTCACTGCACCACTACACCAGAGCGCGTGTGCATGCACGTTTTTGCAGAAAATTGCAAAGTCCYCATGAGGATAGAAGAACAAGCGTGTGTGTGTGTGTGCACACGCTGGGTGTAGAACGGAGCGCTGTGTTCATACTGCTAGATACCCCCCACCCACGAATGATGGGGTGCACCAGTGCGACAGGAAATATTTTAAGGCGCTCTATTAAAAAAAAATAAGGTCACATTTGCAACCAAATTAGCTGCACTCTAGAGCCCTGTGAACATAAAAAAATACTTTATCATTTTGAACTGTGGTAAAACACTGCAGTGCTACAGCATGTGATGCCCTTATGTCTGTGTTGACTTTACCCATAAGTATTCTTTTTGTGATTTCCTATTTTAAACACATAAAAAGCAGTTAACAGTCTGTATCTGATAGACTGCGATACACCAGATGTTATTTTAGCTGTATAAAACCTAAAATTTCTTTCGCATTTCAACATTTTGTATCTGTTTGCCAAAGTACAATGCAGGTACCAGGTTTTGTCAACAGATGGCAGAGTTGTAAAATTTAGAAAAATAATACATCAGTCTAATACAGTAAATCGCTTTTCTAGACACTCAAAGATATTTTACAATTTTCATACATTATTCATTCATACATCTATTTATACATTGATGGTGGTAAGCTTTAATATAACCACGGCTGCCCTGAGGCACACTGGCAGAGGTGGGGCTGCCATGCACTGGCGCCATTGGGCCCTCTGACCACCACCAGCAGGCAAGGTGGATGAAGTGTCTTGCCCAAGGACGACAACTAAGATGGATGGAATGGGGAAATGAACCGACAACCCACCAGTTACAGGATGACTCTCTAACCACTCAGCCATAGCTGCCCATTTACAGGGTCATAGCCTGAATTTCTTAGACTTTAGTTTGAAATGTTGCCCAATTAGCTACATTTTAAACTTAATGTCCTACTTTAAAACCGGTAAAAAAAAAAATAGGTATGTGTTAAAGCTAAACTGTAACTCATGGAAGTGTTTTACAGTAGAACAGACTTTTCTGTAGATATCAGTRGTGTTGTCAGCTGCTGGGATGTGTGAGGGGGTTGTAACAAAAACAAAGAGGTTCTTCTATGGATATTGTATGAAAATGTTGTGTTCTGGCCTTTACTGTTTCATTTCTGTGGCAGGTATCCCACCTTCATTGATGCCCTCCGGGACATTGACGATGCCCTCTGCATGTGCTTCCTTTTCTCCACATTCGCCAGAACGGGAAAATGCCACGTGCAAACAATTCAGCTGTGCAGACGTCTTTCTGTGGAGTGGATGAACTTTGTGGTTGCATCTCGTGCTCTTCGAAAGGTGAGGTTTTTTTTTTCACTGCTCAGCAAAAGAAAAACAAAGTGTTTGCCACAGGAATACAGTATGACTTTCTGTTTATTGGCYGTTGTTCCATAACAAGCTAAACACTTTATTTTTTCCCTGATAGGTTTTCCTCTCCATCAAGGGAATATATTATCAAGCAGAGGTGATGGGACAGCTCATTACATGGCTGGTGCCATATCAGTTCTCCCATGATGTAAGTGCAGATTGATGGTTGMAGTCAGTAGGGATTATGCTAATACACGGTCACATTATTACTGTGGGATTACACTGAAGGTTGGCTCAAGTCAGCATTAGAATCCAAATCAACAAAGAGTATTGCTCTCATAATCATGAAACCTACAACCAGTGCTAAAGATGCCTCAAGCTGTTTTTGTGCTTTTATTGTATTTATTTGAAATCCATCATATCTGAATCAATTGTTTTTCCAAATCACCATAAGGTTAAGATTATCATTAATGGGACTTATTTTTCACCTGATTAAAAAAACAAACTAATTTCTTACCACAATTGCCCATTAATAAAGGCCCGCTTGTTCACAGAGACACACAATTTAAAACAATTATGCACACACACTAAAATCTAAGATGAATTTAGAATTTCTAATTAGTCTAACATGCATGTTTTAGAGCAATRGTTCCCRAAGTTGGGGTCGAGACCCACAGTGGGGTCCCGAAACATCAAGGWGGGGTCCTGAAAAGATTTTCTGAATAACTTACACTAAAACATTACAACAGCAATTTTTTTTGCCTTTGTTGCTACAAAAGAGTAAAGTTAGTGGACTTGAAATGGACAAAAAGAGAGTAATAAATATTGTTATTATGTTCTTGTGTATTTGACGTGAAACAATGTTTATCAGCCAACAACACCTGGGGTCACAGCTCTCTGCTGCTATTTTGTGGGTCAAAAGCTAAAAAGTTTGGGAACCACTGTTTTAGAGGAAACAGGTCAACCTGGAGAAAACCCATACATGCACAGATATAACTTACACGCTCCACACTTATTACTAGCCATCCATCCATCCATCCATCCATCCATCCTTCCTTCCTTCCTTCCTTCCTTCCTTCCTTCCTTCCTTCCTTCCTTCCTTCCTTCCTTCCTTCCTCCACCACCTATTCCTTTGCAGGTCGTGGCGTCAGACTGACTCATTAACCGCTGAAACAAAAAATACCTCAGTTTTTATTTAGGTGACTCTTTACCATCTGCTTGGACAGTTGATGATTGTATAAGATATAGATTTGATCATGTTTGAATAATTTGTTTATTCTCTCCTTTTTCACTACCTAAACATTTTAAAATGTTAATTTTCCCTCTTTTTCAGCACCCGACAGATGTCGACTACAGAGTCATGGCAACGTTCACAGAGTTGTACACCACCCTTCTGGGGTTTGTCAACTTCAGACTCTACCATTCTCTCAACTTGGTCTATCCTCCAAAGGTATCTGAGACTTGTACAAGACTCTTTCTGTGCTTACATAGACATGTAATTACCTACTAACAAGTGTTTCCTCCACAAATATTGTTCCTGTTTTTACAGCTGGACAGTAAAGCAGAATCTGAACTCAAAGAGGAGCATGAAGAAGATTATGCCATGAATTCAGAGAGCTACTTGGAGGTAACAGTCTGAAATAAATGTTAAGGGTTTTATATSAAACAGATGTTAAGAGGTGCTTTGTAACACTTGTGTCGTGGTGCCACAAATTTGGAGGAATTTTAAGAATGTTGATGCACTGAAACGTCAAGAGTTGACTGAGCCGTGGGGGTGTCCCGATCCGATATTGATATCGGATGTCGGTCCRATATCAGCCAAAAAACGRGWATGAGATTTTATCGCCTGCATAAAAATGATCYTATAAACGCGCTCCGATATAAGCAGTCCAATCCAGCARTCCACTGACTCYACTCCAGCTTCTCTATCCAGCAGYGCTTGGATCCAGCATGCAGAGCCCACGTGATCACAACAATGTGCTGCACTAACAAAGTAGCAAGAAGTAGGAGTGATGTTGGCAGTACTTTCTATTTTCATCACAAACAGAGTTGAAGCTAAGTGGAAAATTGTCACACACAAGTTTTCTGTGGGGGCAGAGAACCKTGTACGTTTTAAACCGGAGAAACAATCAGACTCTACTCTCCACCCTGGCAGCAGCTATGCGGGTCGGCTCAGTCCGGCCTCGGTGCAGTGTGTCTCCATGGTTCCAGTTTCAGAACCTCCTCTCTGGTCCAGTCGGTGGTTCTAAGCGAGTACAGCACGCTTACGATTTTGACATCAGCAGAATGCTGCCCGTGGATTAGCTCTCGGATTGATTGACAGAAGAAAKGAGAACACAGCTTTTGTTTTGGAATATGAGGATGACATGACGAGAGCAGTGATAAAAACTGCTCCCTGCAGGAGCGAGAGGCTGATCTCCACATGATGCTTAGACTGTAGAAAGTGGAAATGCAGCTATCAATTTAATTAACTGAATAATTCTTACTATTTATTTTTTGCTCTTGTTAGAGTGATGTTTAATCTGTTTACACACTTGTTTTAGTGAAGATTAAGTGCAATGATCATGTTGTTTTGGGCACAGTCAGTAAAATTGGAGCTGTGGACTCAACTTTGAACAGTTGGACATTGGACAATAATGTGTGGTTTTGTTTTGTCCCCACCTTTAGTTTTTCCCTTCATAAAGCAGCACAAGGCTGACAGATAGTAAAAAATATATGGAGTGATTTTGAATTGTTATTTTACACTTTAAAAGTACATTTTGTTTTTATTGTTTTATTTGTCAGGGTCTTCTAATTTATTTTATTGATTTTATTAAATTGTAGAATGTTCTTCAGTTTTAAATGTATGTGATCCATTGGTTAAAAATAAATGGGTCAATATTTGTCATACCTACCCTTTTCCCCTGTTTGACTTGATCAAGACTTTTCTAAGATTTCACACTACAAAATAGGTARAAKTGTGTGATTTGTACTGATATGGTATCGGGTCAATATCGGTATCAGACARTTCTCAAAGTTGCAATATTGGTGTCGTATCGGAAGTGAAAAAGGTGTATCGGGACGCCCCTACTGAGACGTACAGTATAATCTGCTTCCTGCTGCTCCTGGCTGTCTTGTTGTAAGGACATAAGCAGTAGTTTGTACATTTTGTTCAGTAAAATCCAAGTTAAAAAACCTAGTTGTATAAGGTCATTAGTTTAGGTTTAGTGTCAGTCGCAGTTCATTCACTTGCTGAATCAGTAGTCAAACAAACCAAATTATGTTACTGGTAATTATTTTTTTAATCCTCAGAGCTAATGACACAYAAAAGATACAGATAAGAACTCAGCAGCACACGTAGTTTAACGTCTCACTCATTCCTTGTATTTAATGTTTTTACAACGGCGTGGATGGAAACAAGATACGTTCTAATAAGTTATTTCCTCAAATTGTTAAACTGTTTGGATATAATTACAGTGTGAATGTTTGTCTAACTTTATAATTTCCTGTTTGTTCTTACTGTTGATAAAGGTTTTATGGCCTCTACCAGAAGATATTCAGTTTAGTATTTTACATACAGTAATAGAATTTAATTTGTTTGAAGAAGTTTAATTTTGCTTGGTACTCAGCAAAACATGCCTTTAGCTGTAATTAAMGACTTTTAAAAATGACAAAATGCCACATCTGGGTCACATCACAACGTTCTGCTAGATACTCTAATTTGGTACTTAACAGAATAATGCACAGAGCAGAAAATAAAATCCTGATTGATTGCCTTCTGCCATGAAAGACAAGTGATCATGTAATTGCACATGTGTGTATGTTAGATTTTAATTAAACTTTCAGTAATTAATCATTGGATTTACATTTTTTACTTGTTATTGTTTTGAGTCAGGCCAGTTCAACATGGCCACCACAGCTCATTGACTGTAGAAAACAAAATATCTATGAAGGCAGTTTGTTTCAGTCACAGACATGAATATATCCAGGAACATGACCAGTTGCCACAATTTTTGTTATTTAAATTTATTGGGCTTGAAAATGAAAATGCTAATTTACAATAATACTAACAATAAACAAAACTATTTTTTCCTGACTTTTTGAMATGCAGAAACTGTCTTCTCTGAGTTCCAGTCTGGCACGTGTAGTTTCTGCAGACGAGGAAGAGGAGGCTAAACTYGATCAGTTCCCCACTGAAGAGGTGAGAGAAGTAACAAGCTATGCTGTTTGTTTTAATTGTGCTAAAAATAAACACTTATCCCAGAAAACATCAAAACAACTCGTGATGACCTAATTAGTCTGAGGGCAGAGGTATTTTTTAGAGTTGTGAAACCTTTTGAAGATACTGTATGTGTTTGGGGATTTACAGCTTTATGTTGAGTTGCTAGGTGTTCTCACCTGAGATGCTTGTTTTACCCAGCTGGTTTGAGGTTATAAAGAAAACGGCTATTTTTCACCACAGGGACTTTCCACGAACCTGTAAAACCTTTTGGGGAACTCTGACATGGATCTTGTAATTCAACAACCTGGGTTTTGGGTTCTTCTACTTTATTTCCGGCATCCCATTACACATTACAGCACAGTGAATATGTACTGTGTAAATACTGAATTAAAGAGACTTTTTTTTTTTAAATTTTATAACTAGGGCTGGGCGATATGATCAAAATTTTATATCACGGTATTTTCAACATTTTCACTGGTTTCACGGTATTTGACGGTATTTTTCTTTTCATCACAGCTCAGCTGATAATAAAATGTATAAACCCTGCTCATACATGTCAACTTGTACAGATTGTAAGTTATAAGGATTTTACATCGTTTTGCAGGTATACGGGCGTATAGAGCAGTCTCACGGATTTTTTCAAAACCTGATTTTCAAATTTATCTAACATGTCTGAGCCTGTAGGATGATAAAAAACAATAAACWACATAAGACAGCCATCTTTTAACCTGTTTTGCTGCTAGAAATAAGTCTTGAACTTGCTGAGCGGGCACTTTCATGTCCGCAGCCACCCGCGGCTGCAACTAGCTGCTCCAAACATTAGCATGCTAACTCACATAGCGGTGCAGCAAGGAAAAATGTCCCCCGGGAAACAACAGTTCACTGGCGGCCGCAACGAAATATTCCGCTATTTAAACYGGAATGTCCRGTATTYAAAAAATTCAAATCATAACAAAAATAAAWACCTGTATTCGGTACAAAACAGTATACCGCCCAGCACTATTTATAACCATTATTTGCATCGAGAACAAGGTGAGGTCTATTGTTTTACTTTTTCCTCCGGACAGGTTTTTCATTTAAATATTTTGTCTCTCTAAGAGACTTCTTCATTTTGAGGAGTTGCAGATATAGTTGCAAAAGAGAGACGAAAGGTTTTAACATAGAACACATCCAGAGGACCTGACTCAACTTTGTTCGATTTTTCTACCTGGATTATTGAGATGAGTCAAGAAGGACAAGTACTATGTTTGCTTTATTAGTGCCTTATGGTTGCTTTTTTATGGCCTTGTGGTTGATGTAATTTGATTACATTGAAATTAATGCAAACACAAAAAAACGAACATTTATATGTCCTATGTCAGACATCCTGATCCACATACAAAGTGAACACTGAATTACAAAACTCTCCCATAAAAGTTAATTAAGTTTCTGAAATTTTAGTTGATGATTAAGACCTTATCTACGATATTCTGGGCAATAATTAAAATGGATGAACTTGCACCTCACGTCTGCACACACTGACTTTTTGATGAGAAAAATATTTTCCAAAGTGGAACTTTTTGAAAACATTTTTTTTGTGTGTTCGTGTTTGGATATAGAAGCCAACAAAATAGTTTTTTTTAACATCTGTCTCACTTCGTTCCTGATCCCGTTACCAGTAAACTTTGATTGTGCGCTGAGCTGATTCATTACTGTAGGACAGTTGTAAATGATRTCAAGTAAAGACTCAGGCTTTGGAAGAACTTGTAGATGCAGTGCTTTCTTTAGCTAAATTAAACATTCTTTCTCTGTCTTTAGAAATAAAACACACACACTGTAAAAATGTTTTCCTCATTTTATTACATTATAGAAATCATTGTAAAAGATTTTTGTTCTATTATAGATGAATAGCAAGTTAATATGGTCATAATTTATTCAGCTATATGTTTTTTGTTTTGTTTAGGAGGACATGGAGAAGATGGAATCTAGAGAGAAAGAACTCAAACAATTGGAAACCCAGAAGAAGTTGTTTGAGGGTCTTAAGTTCTTCCTCAACAGAGAAGTCCCCCGAGAGTCTCTGGCTTTTATCATCAGGTGAGATGTTGAAGCTATTTTTTTATAAACCTGTGGTTTCCTGAATGTGTTAATCCTCTGGTCGTTTTATTTTTTTTAGACATTTTACAAGTCAAATCTGATAGTACTTAACTTTAACTGTGAACTTTACTGTAACAGTCAGTGTTTACTTCCTGTTTATATTTTCCCATATTCAGCACCTTTTGTCTCCCTGTTCTGCTCTCTGTGTGAATTTATACAAATACTTTCAACTACATCCACTGTGTGTAGCATAACACACTTTTTTAAAAAACTTTTTGGTAAAGCTAAACTTCAGAGTGTTATCTTTGGTGATTCAACTCTTGATCATATAAACCGTTGTGTTGTGCAGACGGTCCTCTGCTCGGCTGAGGAAACATTTTTCAAATTGATAAGTTTTATGCTGATTGCAAATCAGCATTAGCTGATGCTGACTCTTTTTTTCTCAGGTGTTTTGGTGGTCAAGTGTCCTGGGACAAGTCTGTTTGCATTGGGAGCACGTATGAYGTGACAGATGAGACTATCACACATCAAATTGTTGACAGACCAAATGTTGACAAACAGTACATAAACAGGTGATGAATGTTGTTTATTTGTTGTGTGTTCTGAGCATCTGTAAAACTGTTTTTCTTGTGAAACATTTTGAATACAAGAAGTGATTTTGCTCCTGGTTCATTACTTTATCTTTAACAATTCAGGTTTTCACAATCATTAAACTGTTTTTGTTTTATGGCAGACATATTACTGTTTTATAAAGGAAACTGAAAAATTCCTTGGTTCTTATTTTTATATATTTTGTTGTTTCAGGTACTACATACAGCCCCAATGGGTGTACGATTGTGTTAATGCTAAAATGTGTTTGCCCGTGGAGGACTATTTCCTTGGAGTGACTCTGCCACCTCACCTGTCTCCATTTGTGGAGGAGAAGGAAGGGGATTACGTGCCCCCTGAGAAGCTGAAGATAATGGCCTTACAGCGAGGAGAAAGAACTGGTGCGGCTTGGGTATTGTTTTCTAGGAATGATTTACAAAGTATTGCACTTTGTCGATTTAACAGTAATGGTAATTTAATTATGTTTAGGTCTAGTTAAGAGTCAGTTAACGCTTCTTGATTACACCTGGGATGATTATTCAGGCAATTATAGCAGCATTTCAAGTGTAGAACCATTTTCCAGGAACTGGAGTCTCTTCAGGGCGACTATTTTTCCTCCTGCCCTTTTCCAAAGCAGAAGCCAGGGAAGAAATTAACATCTGATACATTTTACTTTAACACTGACTTAATTCACATGTGGCTGTGGTAACTCTGTCAGGACTGTAGTCTTTTAATCCTGAAGCTGCAGGTTTGAGCCTGAGTTCTGTCAGGAGGGTTATCAGAGTAAACTAAAATCTAAATCTTTCACGTGTGACTCATGCAGATGAGAGAAGCTGAATGAAAGAAAAAAAACTGCTTGAGTTCACATCTTTGTGATGCTTTGTAGGCTGAAGTCTGACCTTATGGATGCTCAAAACTCCCAATAAGGTTTGTTGGGGAGGAGCAACACAGATTTAATTTGTTGAATCTACCTTTAAACTTAAGTGGAAATGCAAATGACCCCGGGCTGAAAGTGTTTAGCCTTTAAGTCCAGGATCTTCTTCATTTGATGTAAATGAATTGTTCTAAAAGGTGTGTAAATAAATGTTTTTTTTAATGAAATGTTTTTGTTCCAATCCACTTTTATCAGTACACTCGTTTGATCATATCATTATTAGCATTATTTTCAAATATTTTTTTAATTGCAGCTCAGGAAGAGGAGGAGGAAGATGAGGAAGAAGAAGAAGACGACGACGACGATGATGAAGAGGATGATGATGAAGAAGAAGAGGAAGATGACGACGACGAGAAAGATGATGAGAAAAATCTCAAGAAGATGGAGGAACAAAGATCCCTGGGCAAGGTAAGAGATTTGTCTTTTTTTTTTATCGTGAACTTGTAGAATCTCTGACCTATCTCTCCTGGTTTTAGTCTTTAAAAGTTAAAGTGACGCCTGGAAAAGTGAAAGCAGAAAATCCAGCACGCTTGAGGGAGGAGGAGAAGGCTGAGGAGAAACGTCTCGCCATTATGATGATGAAGAAAAAGGAGAAGTACCTCTACGATAAGATCATGTTTGGAAAGAAAAGAAAAATCAGAGAGGTACACTTTTTTTTAAACTGTACAAATGTTGATTGATGTAGATAAGATTTAGCTGTGTGAAAAGAACACATTCTTGCACTTTTGTGTACTTTACTGTCAATAAACCTTTATCTWAGAATGTATAACTGTATAGTGTAGCTGCTGTTAATAAAAAAAAGAGCCTGCTGATGACCTTGACTTCACTGACCTGGAAAGTGTTTGTGTGACAAGTGATGAGTATTCATTAACTACGGCCCATTTTTTACAGGCCAACAAGCTTGCTGCCAAGAGGAAAGCTCATGATGATGCTGAAAAAGCAAAGAAGAAGAAGAAGGCCAGAAAATAACTTCTCTTGATGTTTGGCTGAAACTGACTTTGTGCAACTTTTAAGGCTAATGTGAGATAAAAATCTGTAAAGCCTCCAGTTTCATACAAAATTTCAAGATGTAATGATTAATGTAAAAGTAATTCCCTTTTTGTGTATTAAGTTCGTTGTTCTTCATTAATAAACACCTTTCATTTAATTTTTATTATACTTGCATGTTTAAAACTTGAAATTTTTTTTGCTACGTTTGTGATAGCAGCTTCTTTAGGAGATATTGTTTCTGAATCAAACGCAGTCCATAAATGCTCCAAAGATGTAAACAGAGGATGATCCACGAGGCGGTGGGTTGAGGTTATTGGTAGAACGCCTTCACTGATTGGGTTTTGCACAAACTGTGGGTGTTGATGACGAACAGGACTTGGCCTCTCTGCCCTCTGACGGCGGTGCAGTGATCTTGTGGGCCAAAGGCCAGCCCAGTCGTTCTCCCCATTCCTCAGCCTCCTCACTCAGTTGGACACTCTGTTTCTCCTTCCTCCCCTCTTGTTTCCACCCGGCTCTGAATTCCGCACAAGCCCACCCATATCGGGTCTCAGCCTGGCACTTGGGGCGCCCAAAGGCGAAGACACTCCCATCCCAACAAAAGCATCAGTGTTGTACTGCTGCATAGATCAAGTGTGCCTTCTAGGAATCTGGGCCACAGCACTGAAGGGAGGGAGATGAAGTTCACATGATTTCAAAAGGCGTTTGTGACCACATGTTGCTACATCCTGTCATGCAGCCATATTGACTCCCTTGAAATGTTTCCCATCCCTGCTGAAATTTCCTGTTCTGTTGCTTAAGAGATAATTGCAAGAACAGGTTCTGATTTGTGTCTTGCCGAAGCAAAAATAAGGCAGATTATGAAAGAAAACAAGAATATTTGTTTAGCTAATTGACTTGAATCTGTTCTGTGTACATTCATCCTACCACGCCTATAGATCCAGCTTACTAAAAGAAAAAAAACCCTTTCAGACAAAAGACAGAGCAGTCTTGATCATCTGGAACAATTAGAGCTTTTGTGCTGTGGATTTCTGCAATTGCTCTTTTTTATGCCCTCCCCCCTCCTATCAGCATGCAGCTCAAACTTCAGCGTCCACACTCAATAAGCCCTCTATGTAGACACAGAATAGGGACTATACAGCCTCCCTCTCCCTTTTTTTTCCTGCTCTGCCTTTCTTTCTTACACTCAGAGAGTAGCGCACGTCCCCTGACAGAGCCTGACGTCACGGATGGCTACATGAACCTCCCTGCAATGTTTTATTCAGCGGGATCGGCTTCAGAACTGAAAGTTGAAGGGGAGAGGCGTCAGGTGTGCACGCACAGCCAGCAGGGGAGGAAAGAGGAATAACTTCCAGGTGAATGAGATGTGCATGTAATAAGACGTGACACTGGATGTGATGAGAGGAGCTCTGACTGTGCCGGGTCCATAACAGCATGTCAAGATCAGACACGAGGAGATTAACCTGCTTTAAGCTGGAGCTGGGTGGACCACCTGATGCAGAAGAGCAGAAAACACATCTAGTTGTTCCTCTCTGGATGATTGCATGAGGGTGAGAAACTTTTGTATTGAATTTTCATGTTTTTTCTCTTRAATGCTAATTATTTTATTATATACTGGGAAAAAAAGATTTCTAAGGAATTATGCAACACTTTAAACAAGGAATATAACCTATCATAATTTTTAATGTTTTCTGTAATGCATTAATTTAATTTTTTATTTGTTTTACATAAAAGTAGGAAAGAACATCTGTTTTTTAGATGTGCAGGCAACATTTAGGAAGAAAGATTTTTATGGACTTCATACCATGTTCAGTAAAATTACATTTGGCGTAAAGTTCAGAAATTTTGTATATTTTTTTATCATCTGAACAGATGATGGATAAAGGAATTTATTCTATTTTGACAAACATTTAAGGCATAGGACTTCAAAAATACTTTAAAAATCCAGTAAATTTTACATTTATTGTAAATAGATAAAATGTCCCTTGACTTGCAGACTTGCTCCATTTTTCACTATCTTGGTTCTTGAATGTCTCCAAACAGCTGGCTGCAGAAATCCTCTCAAAGTCCAGACAAAGCAAAGAAACGACTACTTTGGTTGTGTTTGAAGAGTCGTGTTTGTAGAAACCTCAGACAAAAGACTAAAAATTAACTCGGCATGAACGGAAACTCAATCAATTTTCAAGTGCAGGAGATGACCTTAACCCACCTGCTGCCCTTGGGTCTTAACAAGGACTGTTAGGTTATTACTTAAAACAAAATCTAATCAAAACTGAATATTGATCGACTCAGAAGAACTAAATAGTGAGTTTGGAAAAACTGACAATTTCAGTGAATACTGACAGAGATTAAAGACTTTGCATTCCTTAAAGGAATACATATTTCTCACTCTCTTTCATGCCAGAGTTTTAGATTAAGCTCATTTTATGATGGAGTTGAAGCCATTTGGTCAAAACTTGAAAATAACATGATCCGTTGGGAGTACATGTTGGGAATGACTGTCAGCTACTACCACACCAAAGTGTATCAGTATATAAAATTCACTGTCAACGTGTTGGCTAAAGCTAATCAGTTGTAAATAACAACCCAATGATTACTTTCAGAGAGTTTTATTGGGTTCCGTCCTGTGTTTTATAAGATATTTTGCTAACAAGCAAACAGGGTTGACTCCCACAGTCAAATTCAAAATGTTAAGCAAATATTTTATACAATATGTTGTGCTTAAAATAAGTATTGAGGATAATGCTCAGCTACTTCTATGTCAGTTTTTAGGCCAATAACTGAAAAATTGACTGAGTTATAACAATTTCATGGCTACTAAGACGGTGTTGTGGAGGCCATTTTGAGTCGGGCTGACTACAAAAGCTTATCAGATGTAAATATCAACCCAATAATTAGTTTTTTTTTTTTTTTTTTTTTTTTTTTTTTTTTTTTTTTTGTAGAACAGACCGCTACAGAAGATCTTTCCTGCCCACAGCCATCACAGTCTACAATAACTCTTTAGTTAAATGATTTACAACATCTAATTTTCTTTTGGGATCAATAAAGCATTTTTGAATTTGAATTCTGACAGTTTCATTTAAACCCATTCAGTGGTTCATGAGATATTTTGCTAACAATACAGCCAAAAACATTTGCGATAACTAGACTGTGGATTAGGAACAAAACTAAATTTATCAACTCAAACAAAATCAAACAGATGAGATGTTCTGGTATCAACACACATTTTGGGTGTCTTAAAAAATAAAACAACAAAATAAAACAAAGTGAAATGAAAAATTTTCTAACAAGGATGTCTGAAAGTAGTCAGTAGTTTAAAAACTCACTCCACCTCCAAGTTTTGAAAAAGTGATTACACATGAGACACACGTGTGGATATTATCAGTCAAAGCCGCTCATAAGGCTGAGTAATTATGAGTTGCAAGAGGAAGATTGTGTGTTATTTGGTTTGACTCATGCTCACAGCAACACACAACAGGTAATTTAGTGCTGCAGACACAGGTCCTCATCACTGCCCAAGTCTCAAAGTGTCCTGGAACCATTTTTGGTTTGTCATTTCTGATATTCTGCTGGGTTTGTTTACTGCGCATCGCACAGATCATCAGCATCTGAACATCACAGTGTGTGGTGTACAGATGTTGAGAGTCCAGGTGTTACTTTGCTATAGAAACAGTATGTACTAAAAAAAAATAATGAAGTGCAGTTTGAAGGTCTTTTTATGTAGTTACATCTTGTGCTGCTTGTATTTTCTGCTCTAGTTTTTGAAAAATTGTGTCTTTAAAACCAAAGTTAGCCATTGCAAAACTGGCCTTTAGAAAAAACTGTGTGTTAAACAATTCACAGCTAGTTACAAATAAAATCAATGTTAACTTCTTGTATGATRCTTGTCCTACTTTGGATCAGCCAAATCTTCGGTTTGTTTTGCTGCYCTGAAATAATTGAACTATAAAGGAAATAAATAAAATCAGTCCGGTAGAAGAGTTGGGCGTCTTGTTCACAAATGCTGAAACGGGAGGTGGATTGATGAATCGGAGGCCTCGTCCTCAGTAATGAGGATGTTGCTTCAGTACGTCGTGGTGAAGAAGGAGTGGAGTCAAAAGGCAAAGCTCTCAATTTACAGATGTTCCAACTCTCACCTGTGGTCATGAAGCGTGGATCATGACTGAAAGAACCAAATTCCGGATACAGACAGCTGAAATGAGTGGCTGTGCTCAGCCTTGGAGATAAAGAGGGTAGTAGACCTACTACTCTGCATCAAAAGTCAGCTGAGGTGGATCAGGCACCTGATAAGGATGCCTCATTTGGAGGTTTTTTTAAACATGTCCCATTCAAAAGAAAGAAAGAAAGAAAAAATCTCTGGAGCGATTACAATGTAATTTCTCTCTGGTCTGGGAAATCTGGGTTTATCTCCTGGACCTGCTGCCTTTGCGACTCAACAGATAAACAGTAGAATTTTTATTCCATATTGATAAAATAAAAAGTTTCCTTTGACAAACGGACTGAAAACGACACCCCGACATACAGACTGAGTTTCCCGTATCACTGCTCTGCATTTGGGTAATACAGTTCAAATCCAGAGCCAAAGTTCACTTGTTAGGAGTTTGTTGCTTCTCGCTGAGTYAGCAGGTAGCTCGTCTTACTTCGGTCTGCAGGGGAGAACTTTGGATCATTTTCCACTGTGGTGCATAATTTATTCTTTAGAGGACTACAGAACACAATGTTATCMATTTTAGTTCACAGACATCTTTTTTTGGTTCATTATGATGTTTCATTTACTCATTCAGAAGTGAAGCTCGGGTTRCATTAAGCCTTTAGGCTCATATTTAATGTGCTTCTAGTATTTGCTGTGGGAAAAATAGTTTGTAGGGATTGGAATAGTGGAAAATTACACATACAGAATATTACATTATGCCATTCATGTTCTAAATTTAAAAAATCTAATCTATAAACTACATTTTGATGGTATAATAGCTGAATCAGGGTTTATAATTTTAAATCTGTTTCTCTCAAATGCAGGTTGTTACAAAACATTGCTTTATTTTAGTTTCGTTTTTTCATCTACCCTGGAAACCAGAGAACCAAGACTGTAATCTATATGGCTTCACTTTCAATTAAATTCCCAAGTAACTATATAAATAATTAAGTGTTTCCACTGTGATCGAGAGGACCGCTATTGTTTGATAGTAATGGAAAAGAACATTTACAGTGTGTTCTTTTAAGTGCAATCTTTTTTTGTTTGCCTGAGAATATTAAGTGAGGGCCACGATGTCGTATAATTCTGAAGATGTTTTATAGGAGCTGTGATGAAGAGGAGATTTATTCTGTGTCTTAAAGGTAAACTTTCATTCTGCTGGATCATGATGGAAAAGAAAAGGAGGCCTTGGAGGTCCATGTGCAAAGGCCTGATCCTGGGGACCCTTCTGACCAGCAGCATGATTCTTCTTTACTGCATCTCCAACCCGCAGATCAACTTCAGGCTGCCTGAGTAAGACTTAGAACGCATGCCTTTTTGACAAATTATGTGAAAAAGAAGAATTTGGGATGTCGTGTAAAGCTGTTATATGGAGTGAGTTCGYCTCTTACTGCTAGAGATAGGCACCAGGTATAGAAAATGAATGGATGGATGGATGGTTTTCATACTTTTTTTGATTTCAGTAACTAATAAAAACCATCAACACCTTTATAAATGTCTTGGTCTTCTTCTCTGTAGGGTCCCAGTCCCTTACTCCTGTGCCCACCGTTCRTCCCATCTCCACCCCAAACCAACCGCCAACGGTGCACAAGCAAACACCGGACATTCCTGTTCACCTAAAATGGACATTATGTTCATGAAGACTCACAAAACAGCCAGCAGCACCCTCCTCAACATTCTTTTCCGCTTCGGAGAAAAACACAGACTCAGATTTGCCTTCCCAGACAGCAGAAATGACTTCTTTTATCCGTCCACGTTCCAGCGCTCATTCGTCAAAGACTACAAAACTGGAATGTGCTTCAACATAATCTGCAATCACATGCGGTTCAACGCCTCTGAAGTGGCCAAGGTGCTACCCACCGACACATCCTACATCACCATTCTGCGAGACCCCGCAGAGCTCTTCGAGTCATCGTTCCACTATTATGGCCGGTTGGTTCCCTTTACCTGGAAAATACCGGGTGAAGACAAGATGACAGAGTTCCTGCTCAACCCCCAGAGCTACTTCGACCCAGAAGGCTTCAACTCTTTCTACCTCAAAAATCTGCTGTTCTTCGATTTTGGGCAGGACAAYACTCTGAAGCTGGACGACCCGCGGGTAGATGAAGGAATCAGTTTAATCTCTGAGCGCTTTCAGCTGGTCATGTTGGTGGAGTACTTTGAAGAATCACTGATCCTGCTCAAGGAAGCACTCTGCTGGGAGATGGAGGACTTGCTCTTCTTCAAGCTCAACGCCCGCAAGGGATCCACTGTGTCCAAACTCACCCCTGAGCTGAGGGCCAGRGCCCTTGATTGGAACGCCATCGACTGGAAGTTATACCAGCATTTCARCCAAATGTTTTGGAAGAAAGTGGACGCTTACGGGCGGGAGCGCATGGCTATGGAYGTGGCAGAACTCAGGAAGAGAAATGAAGAGATGACGTCCATCTGCATTGAGGGGGGGCAGGCTGTAGACGCTGGTAGCATTCAAGAAACAGATTTGCAGCCCTGGCAGCCGATTGGAGAGAAGTCGATCATGGGCTATAACCTAAAGAAAAATATAGACAATGTTCATCACAAGTTGTGCCGTAAAATGTTGATGCCAGAGATTCAGTACCTGACAGAGCTTGGGGTCAACCTATGGATCACCAARCTGTGGGGTCATGTTCGAGATATCATCAACTGGTGACGAGACATCCCAGTGGGAGAAGTTAACCTTGAAATACTGTATTAAGTTAAAACAACAACAGAGTTCTGAGTGTAGTAGATGAGAATCACATTTCCTTTCATTTATTTGAAAGGCACAAATTCAGTTGTGTTATGTGTAATACACCTGAGAGGAAAGAAAAGTTGTTGATCTCACAATCTACAATCYTGGAACTTTTAAACTTAGTATTATTTACTATGAGTCGATTTAAATGATATTGGTCATAGATTCCAGCATGTTTTCTTAAGCATTTGGTTGAAACATAAAATTCACAAATAACTTCGTGAACTACCTAAAGAAACCAATCTTAATTATTTCCATTCCCATCTAATTCTTAAGGTACTTTGAAGATGTGAAATAATTCTAGATTATTTAGGTAATATATGACGTAAAAATGATGAATGTACTTTTAAGTATTACATCCCGCGTTATTGACATTGGAAGGCAAAACTAAATTATAAACAGAAACATTTAGAACATAAAAAGTAATTTAAGGGATGAAAAAGACTCTAAGCCATTATTAAATGACTGTAAACATCAAAAATCATTTTATGATCCTAATTAAAAGGATTTTTGTTATCTCTTTTTTATTTAGATATGGAAAATGTGGAAATTCAAAGAAAAAGAATGGGTTGTTTTTAAGGATTACATCAAAAAAATGCAAGATATTACTGTAAACAAGTGGAAAAAAGATAATATGAGAAAAAATAATTAAAAAGCAAATATGGCACAATGCAATCAAAAATACAACTTTTTTCTTTTACAATATTAAAGGGTGTTTGTTGAGCTTTCTGCTACAGAATGTCCTTTTTTCTTCTCTGGTGACTTTTAAAAGTCTCAGCCAATTTTTCCATTTTTCTGCTGATTAAGCCYTAACAACACATACGTGACATGTACACTAGTAATATATTTGGATTTGCACTGTGAGCTAAAAAAATATCAACCCCCTATTGTGTTTGTGAATTAAATTGTAGCTTTGTAGTTTGACAAAGACTAAAAGTGTTAAATACTATTTTCTTCAGTGTATGAAACTTTGCCATCATGAAAAAGGAATCCTGAGCAGAAAATTATATTTTTCCTGTTCTTACTCTGCAAAATGTGTCTTTTTCTACATGTACATCCACTGAATAAAAAATAATTTATTTTATTTGTGCATTCGGCTTTTTTTCTAATGTTATTGCCTGCTTACTCATACTGTCTTTTAAACAATCTTCATCTGCAAAAGACACTGTATGGTAAAAAATTTCCCTTATCCAAATTAAGTGAAATGTAATACTGAATGTGTTTATAAAAATATAACGTCATATATGTTTTTTTTGAAATTATTAATGTAATAGTCAGGAGCAAGAATCATCTGGATTTACAAGTGACTTTTTTATCCCAATATTGAAAGTGTATGACTTAGGTCAAATTACCAGTCAGCAATGAATAATAAATGAGTATTGTCCTGTTCTAATGATCTGGGGCTGTAGATAATTCACCAAGTGAAAGCAATTCCCTACTGGCCAATAACATTTTTTTAACATTTTATCTGTTAATTATAAACTATTATTTATATGTTAAACTAAAATTCACAACATAATTTTTAAATAAACTGCTAAGAGGCATTATAATAAAGAGAGTCTTGTATGAATGAGGCACTCACATGAGGTACAACAGAGTGATAAAAATCAAGATGTATATTTTAATTCTCACTACATATRGACGATATTAGACTAATAAAAGAAATTAATAATCAACGCTAATGGTAATAATGCAACTTTTTTTTTACCATGGTGTCAAAGTCAAACATGTTGACTCCAAAAGAAGTAATTTGTCTAAAGCTGTTAGCCCACATAAGAAATTATTGTCTTTGTAAAAAGAAAAAAAATACAATAAAATATGAACGAGGTCAGTAAAACATATTTGCTATTTTATTGGCAAAAACAAAAATATATAAACAATATCTATACGTATTTATTACTGAGGATAGCAGGAGTGTTTGTCAAAGGCAAGAAATTGAAGTGTTTTTCCATCACAACTCCCATTATAGTCAAGTAAGTCACAGCACACATTGCTCAATTAAAAAAATGTTGAATTATCTCCTTTTAGACAACTTTTTTGTATATTTTTATTTCTAAATTTTATATTTTTAAAGATAACTTCAGTATTAC